GGGGGGCAGAGGCTGCTTTAATTTTTTTATCTTCCTTTTTAGTGTAAACTGGCAGCATTTGTTTTTTTTTGTTTTTTAAAAAAAAAAAAAAAAAGGACACGATGGACCGAAAGTGTTGCATTGTATTTAACGCAGCCTCTTCGTCGAAGCTTCCAGCTCAACCGGCCTGGCCTCGACCTCATTATTCGGCAGCTCTCTTATGAAATTATGACCTGAAAGCTCATAAAGGCCTGCATACTGCGGCGGCTTCTGAACAGGGGGGGTCTGGTATGCCTTCGGGGTCTCGGTTTGCGAAAGTATGAACGCAGTGTCTGTATCTTCATCCTTTGGCGGCCTCCTGTGGCGTCGAAGCAGAATGATTGCTACGATCAAAGCGATGATGCCTATGACGCCTAGGGAAACACCAAGCCCAATTCCTACTTTTGTTCCGGTTGTTAGGCCGATAGGGGACGGAGATGTGCTGGTATGTATTGAGCCGAGGACTTGCGAGCCTGATGGAGCATTGTCTTGTGATGTTTGGGGTCCTCGTAATGACTGCGATGCTTGTGGAGGATGTGGAGTAGCAGTGCTTGTTGAGGCAGGAGAGGAGCCTGATGCTGTGGATGGAGCTGCTGCTGATGTTGCGGACGGAGCTGCGGTCGACATCGGAATCTGGACGTTCCATCCGAGAATGGCAATTGCACCGACGGTGGAAGAGCGGGTCAAAGTTGTTGTCATTGTTTTCCAGTTCTCAGTGGATGAAGATGCGGTGGACGCATAAGTGAGGATCATTCCAGGTGTTACTACTGACACACAGTCACCGGCGATTGAAATTACAGGATCGTGAGCCAGAGTATAGCCTCTGTGCCATTGTCAGCACAAAAATCCCATCATCCGAGAATCGAAAGCCGACTTACGAAGGGCAGCACATGGCAAGAGTGCTAGAGCCATCTTTTATAGAGGACTTCACGGTGTGAAAATAGTCCGGGCACATCAAGGGCAATATACTGAGCGCAGTATGATCGGGCGCGCCACCCAGCCCGAGACGAGCTTGCTCCCACCAAGTTGTCACAGCAGGAGGCTGACACCTGACTATCGTGTTGATATCCAGTCCGTACCCAGGGTCGAACACAACGAGGCTTGGTCCGTTGAGACGAAAGGAGCTTGCACAGCCCGACACCGAGGGAAATTTTGTGGTTAGAGGAATCCAGGATGTGACCTCGCCGCTGTTGGTCTCCGCTGGATACGACATCTAAAGTAAATCTAAGATATTTTGGGTCGGTAAGGCTGTTTCGATGGCAGATCTGCCAGATAAATTGAGGATCAAGTGCTTTACGCCGCCAAAAGCTGAGTGATAAACAACAAGATACTGATATGCTTGCGGCACAGCACCTAATGTCGCCATGGCGAATTCTGCCCATTGAACGTAGCCGCGTGCGGCATGCCTTGTTCAATGGTGACTCGCTACAGGGCCAGGCGAGAAGCGATGATTTTCCGGGGATCTGGAATTGGCTCCACACCCGAGCCCCTGCTGTCGCGGGCGGCACAGTGCGGCACGGTGCGTCCGCGCCCACCAGCAGGCCTTCAGTGGAGTCGGCAAGGTAGCCATACGACCAATGATGTCAAAATGCCAGCTTTTTGCCCTGCCAAGCTATTGACCTTCGATGTGAAGACTGTCCTTTCACACCACTTCGCGGATAAACCTTGTCGTTTGTCAGAAAATGGAAACAATTCGGGCTGCCGCGCGTTTAAAGCGTTACGGCGCGGTAGATACAAGTATCGGCCTGGGCCGTGCCGCTTTTTAGGCTCGACAAACCATTCTTGAGTCTCGTTGTCAGCCTGACTCTTTGCTTCAGGTGACCAACGGCTCTTGAACCACATTTTAATCTTTTTCATCATTTTACCCTGAACGTGATGGCCACAAGGAAGAGAGATTCAACGGCTCGGCTCCGCAAACGGCAGTCGGCTCCCGGTCTGCATCGTGCCTTTGTACAGGGAGGACCCTCTTCGCGTACTGGTTTTTCGTCTATCGCCCTTAAGGCATTGATTGCGATTGTCGTTGCTCTTAGCTCATTACTTCTCTGGCTGAGAGGCCAGTATGTTGGGCTGAGTCGTCCAGTAACGACAGCTGAAGACTGGGGAACCCGAAGACAAGAGGTTAAAGAGACCTTTGTCTCCAGCTGGGATGCCTACGCTCAGCACGCCTGGGGTTAGTCTTCTCCAAGAACGACATAAGCAACCTGACCCACCTTAACCATACCACAAACAGGCCAAGACCGCTTCCACCCCATCTCGAAACGCGGCTCCCAAATGAGTCCCAACGGCCTAGGCTGGATCATCGTCGACAGCCTCGACACGCTAATGATCATGAACCTGACATCTCGCCTGGCATCTGCACGCCTCTGGGTGCACCGGAAGCTGGACTATAACCAGGACCAAGATGTCAATACCTTTGAAACGACCATCCGCATGCTGGGTGGCTTGCTGTCCGCGCATTATCTCGCTACGCAGCTAGCCGGCGCGTCATCACGCAGGGACTACGTCTACTTGTCTAAGGCTACTGACCTGGCCGACCGGCTCCTCGGCGCGTATAATTCCGCCTCTGGAATTCCGTATGCGAGCATTAACCTGCGGATGGGTGAAGGGATCCGCTCGCATATGGATGGGGGATCGTCTTCCACTGCTGAGGCTACTACGTTGCAGATGGAGATGAAGTACTTGGCACAGCTCACCGGGAAAGAAGTCTATTGGCGGAAAGCCGAGAAGGTTATGAAAGTCATTGACGACATTGGCGTGCAGGATGGACTTGTCCCGATCTTTGTGTCCGCGGACATTGGCCGTTTCACGTCGCGGGAGATTCGTCTTGGAAGCCGTGGCGATTCGTACTATGGTGAGTCTAGAATGTCTCTTGCCACTGCTTTGGATATTGACATCAGCAGAGTACCTCATCAAGCAGTATCTGCAGACTCACGAGCCTGTATATCTCAAGATGTGGGAAGAGTCGTTGGCTGGAATCCGCAAACACCTGATCATCCCAACGCGGGAATCCAAACTCAACATCGTTGCCGAGCTACCTAACGGTGTTGGAAGTAAGCTGTCCCCAAAAATGGACCATCTCGTTTGCTTCCTGCCCGGATCCATAGCCCTTGGAGCAACAGGTGGCCACACCGAAGCCGAAGCGCGAAAGACCCCCGACTGGAATGCCGAAAAGAGCGAGCAGATGGACCTGGCAAGAGAGCTCATGAAGACATGCTGGGGCATGTACAAAATTACTGAAACTGGACTCGCGCCCGAGATCGCTTGGTTCAACGTGAATGAGGATGTTCTGCAGCCACGAACAAGTCCTTTGCCACTGGCGCGCAGCAAGGATAACGTCAACGACTGGAAGAAGGACTTCGTCGTCAAGCCGCTTGACGCACATAATCTGCAGCGACCAGAAACCGTGGAAAGCCTGTTTTTGATGTGGCGTATTACGAAGGATCCGATCTATCGCGAGTGGGGCTGGGAGATCTTCGAGGCGTTTAAGAAGTATACCGTCCTGGAAGGTGGAGAAGGCTACACGTCTCTGGACAACGTAAATGCGATCCCACCCACTCGTCGAGACAATATGGAGAGTTTCTGGCTGGTAGGGTGATCTTTCCACTATCATTTTAAATTAGCTAACGTGAAAAGGCCGAGACGCTCAAATATCTGTATCTCTTGTTTTCGCCAGATGACTTACTTCCTCTTTCGGAAAACGTGTTCAATACCGAAGCCCACGTCTTTCCTGTTATGAACCGAACAAAATTCAAGACGGGTTGGCAGCGGAAGGGTTAGACCTGTTCAGCGATTAGCAGGTGAAGAAAGTATAATTATCGGAGGTTTTGACAAACCTAGTTGGTGATCCGAAATGTAGTCGTACAAACGGGACGCTTCAGTAGATTATCCAACAGCTTTGTACCGCAATCCGCCGGCTAAATACTGCGACGAAACGCTGATGTTACATTCCAGGAGAGAAAAAGCGCACCCAGCGGTCATTTTAGTGCCTGCACCCCCATACCAACCTAACTTGATTTGGAATCCCCTGGCCACGCGCGCAGACTTCCTTTTTCACCATATCTATCAACCACTTGTATATAAACTCTTTTCCCATTACTTACCTTACACCCCCATCAGTACGATGAAGCTCACCATAGTCCTCATTGCCAGCATCGGCGGCGCCGCCGCGCAAGTCGGGAGCTTCTTCTCATCCTGGAGCAGCAGCAGCAGCAGCAGTAGCAGTAGCAGCAAAAGCAGCACCGCTTTGAAGTCAAACACAACCGGCTCCTACCTCACGGCAACCGCAATCGTAACCAACGCGCAAAACAACTCTGCTTTTCAATGCTGGCGTTTCAAAAATCCGCTCGAACCGCTTTCGACATCCGGCGCGCTGCGCTTCGGGTTCAATCTCTCTAACGCTGCCGCTGCCGAGTATGTCGTCATCCCGCCGCGCTTCGACGGTGGCGTGCAGCTTGCGCCTAGGCCATTGTAAGTTTGTGCTTTCCCATGGAACACACTGTGGAGCGAGTGAAACGCCTTTTAAGTCTGGATGTTGATACTGATATTACATAGCCTCGGCATATACGCCTCCGGCCTCGCACACATCACTCTCCCGTTCAGTGACGACGAGGCCTGGATCCTCGGCGGCAAGAACGGGCTTCTCATTGTGGCTGACCCAATCGGTACTGGTCACCATACGACGTATCCGACGGACGAGACGACGGTGACGTTCGCGCTGCCGATTCTGAATGACGAACTCCCGGCGTACGAAGTGCTAAGTAAGGGACCATGTTTTTACCACGGTACGCAAGTGGTAGGCGGGGGATAGTGAGTGTAGTGCATGTTATGTATTACTGTTAGGTAGTTTACTTACATCAAATTGCTTCCCAACATTATAAAGCCCGATAGGAGCTAACACTTCGGCTCCTCCAAGCCACAGACACTGGCCAAATGATGTAGACCACAAACGTCCAGATGTAATATAGCAGCGCCATTGAGAAAACGAGGAATAAAATCCAGCTCGGCTTCCGATAGTACACGATTCCTATGCTGATCCCATAGGCGGCGAGTACAGCACACGCCTGAGTATAAACAAGGATCACCAGTGCGTAAGTCGCGACAAGCGCTTTGGAGCCAAGTTTTTTGAAGAGCTGCGAGTCGTCATCGGCGTTGATAATTTCGCGCGTATCACTACCTATGCTACGAGTTTCGTAATCCTGTAGTGTTTTCATGGTACCTTCTCCTTCCGTGCCATCAACTTGAGCAGTCTCACATGTTGAGGAATTTGGCTGCGTTTCTTTATCCTTAGGACTTGGTTTCATTTTTCTCGTTTCTAGTTGTCGTTAGCCATAATCATATCATGTAGCAAAAGCAAACCTACCGCCCCAGGCTTCTGCTGCAGTAAGTACCGGAAGGACAAGAATTAATATAGGAAGTATCTGTCCAGCGCTCAATTCATGGATGATTTCCATGCGTGACTTGAATCTTTCGGCAGGCATGTTACGAATCCATGCCAGCATCATAATACCAAAAGTAAATGAAAACAACACAGGAATAATTTTGATGAAAAACGAGTCAAACATCAAGATGTGGAGATGTTTAAGGTGTCTTAGCAAATTCTTCCAAGATTTATTTGCTTTCGCCTCCTGTGACATGAGCTCTTTTTCTCTGATGTGGTTTTGAAAGGTCTGCCTGTCATATTTTTCCATGGAATCTTTGACTCGAAGTAACTGTGGCAGCCAATGCTTGGTGTAGCTGGTAGTTGACCTGTGTTTTGTCATGAGAATGACAAGCCGCTGGGTGTACGCGTGAAAAATCCAGAATAGCATGACAATAAGATCCAGGATAGTAAATATGGTGAAGAGGACGCTATAGCGAGTAGTTGTCCCATAATGAGAGCCGGAAATGACGCAGGCGAATCGCAGAAAAGGTTGAGATCCGGCAAGCTTTGTGAACATAATTATCAATGCCACTTGAAGTAGCAACAAAAATACGGCCATGAGGATCAGTCGAAGCGCGAGAGCGAGCGGATGCTCTTTGAAATAGCGATGGATTGTTGAAAGGGTCGCCAGATGCGTTGTCCAAGAAAGCCAGGCCAGGGCAGTGGCTACCTCAAAGGTATACACTGAAATGTCGCAAAACTTCAGCCACACCACGATTAAAATCGCCAGCTGGGAGACAAGCTGTTGATCACTCATGGCAAGGATAAAACTCTCGAATGCTTCCGAGCTCTTGTTGTTATCCAATGCTTTCGAGCTCTTTTTGCTATCCTCTTGAGTTCCATCTTTCTGCGTAGGATTGTGGAGAAAGTCGATGATGAGGTTGTCGGCGGCATTTGGTGAAAGATCAAGATCGATGCTTCTGTTGAAGTATGCAATGAGGATACAAATGATCGTAATAGCCGATGATGCTATGAAAGAAGCGATTGCCTATTTGGTTAGTATACAAGCGAATTAAAAGATATCTGGAACATACACCTGGCCCTACAATGTCTGGATCATAAGCGTCTTCCGAGTCATGAATTCTGCACTGTGTGTCTTTTCCTGCACAGGAGAAGGCGAAATTGGGAGGGGGCCAGTGTCCCTTTCCAGCTCTTCGTACCAGCGTCATCCTGGATACAGAATCTATAATAGAACAGCCTGTGCCGCGTTGAGCGATGCTAGGGTTGTTCGGTTGCCGAACTGTGAAGCCAGAGGTATGGTGGTATGAGTTGAAAGATAATTACGTGCCCGATTGAGGATGACTTGTCCCTGGGTTGTGCAGGCAAGAGCTAGAGTGGCAAGAGCAGCCTGCCTGAAAGAGGAAAAAGGTTGGATGGTTAAGTAAAAACTAAAAACTAAATAAAATGAAGATGGTGATGTAGTTTTGGTAGAAAAAGTGGTGCTAGGAGGACATGAGTTGGTGTTAACTTTCTTTTTTTTTTTTTTTTTTTTTTTTTTTTTTTTTT